ACATAATATGTCTGCACTCTTCCACGAGCGCACACGGACGACGGCGGTTTCGCTTGTGTGCGTTCCCCTACCACTTCGGTGCTGGCCGGCTGCTTGATCTTTCTCGACGCTTGGAATCGTGCACATAGCACGGAATAGAACCATGTCCACGTTTAGACATAGCGTACGTATCGACAAGTCGCTCGTGGACATCGCTACGTAGTTGCCAATGTGCACCACCCATGGACATGCGCTAGCTTACGGGCCGGAATAGCGATCGTAAAAACTCTTATGGGCCTGGCCACTCTCAGGCTTCTCTCTGGATAAACATAATGGGTGCGTTCAGATAACTCAACGGTTGAGACATCATCACTTATGATAGGACTATTCTTCAAAATCTTACCGGTTCCAAAAGTATGATCCAATCAGAAGTTATTATCTCTCAACCGTTGTGCAACTGTTGAGTTGTCTGAACGCACCCAATGTCTGTTCGTTTTACCTGAACTGGCCGCTCTAGGTCAGAGTTTATCTTCTTTACTCTACGTTGGAAAAAGAAGGATAAACTCTGACCTAGAGCGGCCAGTTCAAGTAAAACGAACAGACATATAATTTCTGAGGTTGGCGCACCTGTGTCTTCGAGAATGTTGAACGCACGTAAATTTAATTCAACCGTTACGGATCTTACAGTTTACGTGAACTTTTAAGGTTTTTATATAATTAAATAGTTCTGAAATTACATGAAAACGTTACGTACACAATGGTATACATATACATATATATATAAATGTATAATATATATACGAATATTTTTTATTAAAGGTTAGAAATGAACAATCGACGAAGGCGTGCCGACGATTTTACGGATTCCTTGATTAATTTTTGTGAGTATATGTTTTCACATATTACTACACGTATAGATCTATACAAAACCAATATATTCTATTATATTGTTTTACTGTACCACGCAATTGTTATGTTTTGTAATTGCAAAGAAACTTGTTAAAGATTTTATTATAGTAGTATTTATTTGTGTGTGTGTGTGTGTGTGCAAGATATAGCAACAGTTTTCTTATTTTATTATGATTTAAATACTATATATAATACGATATATAATAATAAATACTATATATAATACTATATACTGCATTAATAATCACTTATTGATAACTTATTGATAATGATCTTATTGTAGATCTTAATGTTATATACATATATATATGTGCATACATGTATATGTATACATATATATATATTATATACATATATACATTACATATATACATATGTACACATATATATATATTATATGTGTGTATGTATGTATATACATGTATATAATTGCACTACAAAACTTCTCTCAATAATGAACATAGTAAAGGACTTATAAAAATGTATATATAAATCCTAGTTTTTAAGGTTTTAGTAAAATAAATTATATGTATAATTTTTTTTATTTATTTTTAAATAAATTATATAATTTCTAATTCTATATGTATACACATACATGTACACACATGTATAAATAAGATATATTTTAAACAGTAGTTATATGTAAAAAGTTTTATGAATGATATAAATTATAATAGTAAATAATATCAAACTACTGTATTGTTTTGAGAATATAAAGATCTTATGAAAATATTCTATAAAAAAGTAAAGTATTATGTAGTTCTTAGTAAAAGTTTAATTGTTCATTACAAATAAATATTGATTTAAATATATTTGTTACAGATCAAACAAATGAGGAACAGAGTCAAAGTATGTATGAAACATGTTTAAGGAATAGTTTGGATACTGATTTTAGAAAAAATAAATTCTATAAACATAGCTCTACAAAAGATAGCAAATCATCTTTTGATTCTATTATTCTAGCAGGTCATGTAGCTTCGCACCAGTATGTTTCATCTGATGAAGGCAGAACTTGTGAGAAAACTAATGGTTTATATAACAACAATCAAACTGTTTCATTAAAAGATATATTGAGTGTATCTGATACTACATCATATTTATCTATTGACTCTGGTTTAAATAAATGTATAAATTTGTTTCATAACAAATATCTGAATAAGAAACTTGATTTTAAAGAACACACAGTTTCTGATTCTACATCACTTGAGACTAGAGGTAGCTACAGCATTAATGATAATAATGTAAAAAAACACAAGACTGTAGAGATACAATGCAATTTAAGTCGTCCACGTTCTATGTCATCAAATACATTGAAAAGGATTACATTGTCTAATATACAAGTTAGAAGATCTAAGAGCTGCATTATATTTAATAGTGATTCGAAAGGAGACTCCAAGTACAATATTAAAACTGATCAGTTACTTTTAACAGAAACTGGAAATGAAACAAGTAGCCATAAGAGAATGGAAACGATTTCTTCAACTCTTGATACACTATCTTTGTCAGAATCTCTTTCAGTAAAGGATAAATATTATTCTCCTAAAGAAGAAGAAAAAAAGTATGAATCAATAAGCAGCGAGAAAAGTTCTACAGAAGAACTTAATCCTTTCGAATTAAGAACATTTCTACATTCACTGGAAGATCCAAAACCGTTGAAAGAAGCAGATATGCTGAGACGCTTGTCTGTAAATTTCTGTCAAGATTCGCCAAAAAACTTTACAGAAAGATTGTTAACAATAATTGAAGAATCTATTGCAAATATTGATTCTGAGACAGCAGATGTTAGTTTCTGCAAATTAACTCAAGAACTTCGGAAAATGTGTAAATTAATAGAAGATGAGACTATTGAATGGCCCCAATCTCCGAGTATGTTGATGTCTTGTAAGAAAAAAACAAGTCAGGAATTTTTGTTTGATCGCTCAAGAAAATCCCTTGGCACTATTGCAACTTCAAATACAGGTCCAATCACACCCATTTCTTCTCCTAATATTAACAGTCCTAACAAAGTTTATCGGCGTACACCGAAAAAAGTGGTATACAATATGAAAAGTCCACTACATGACAGTACAACTACATTTGAATCTTTAGAAGCATTTTGCAAAGGATTATATCCTGACGAACACAAAACATTCCGTATAGAGAAAAAATTTCAATCAGATTCTCCTTTGAAAACTTTAAATAATATTTTACACACATGTGACAATCAAATGGCGTCTTTAGAGAATTCGCCCAACATTTACGAAAAACTTAAGGAAGCTGCTACAGCATCTGCTTCAAATGTGATACGCTTACATAATGAGCATGAAACGAATCTTCAAAGGGATCTGCTGCTGTCACATAAAAATCGTGGAAAAACCAACTCGAAGAATACACCTGATGTACTTAAACAACAAGCAAAAGTAAACAGCGATAATAAACGTTGTGAAATCAAAACGGACGATTTAGAAAACACAATCATGTATGAAATTGCAAAGAAGAGACAAAGATGTTTGAACACGGCAAAGATAATGATGGAAATTGATGCAGATTTGAAATCCACAGCAGCGCAGAAAAAATGTCCGCAAATTGTTATCAGTCAAGATTCTAATTCAACTGATTACGACCCTAAATTCATGGAAATATTAAAATCTGTAAAAAATTATCAAGACTACCTGGACCAACACAAACCTCTACTCAATTTTCTTCGGCAAGAAAGTTTGTACAGTTTCCCTTCTTGTGAAAAAAAAGATATCTTAAAAGTTAATAAAAAGTTAATAACTGAAAACTTTAGTACTGCTACCAATGCTGTAACTTCGACTTTATCTTCCAATAAAGAAAATATAAAGACATTACGAGTATCAAAATCTTCGGTAACAAAAAAGAAGAATACAAGTCCCTCGTCAGCGAAACGAAATAACATAGTTGTTGCAAGACCAAAATTATTTGTGACACCTACAAAACCGATCGGTATCAAGAATTACAAGACACGCTCAAATCGCATATATTTTCCTAATCTGGGAGTTATATGTGACGAGAATAATAAAAGGCGTGATCTTAGCCCTCACAAGAGTCTTTACCACCGGGAAATAGGAAACTATGATCACGTAATATCGCCGGTCGGGACATATATACGAGGTACAGATCCTCATCTAATGAAAAATTTACGTCCTAAAACGGACGAAATGTTATTAACGCCGAGAAAAAGGCAGACTACACAGCAGTTTTCTAGCTCTAAACCAAAAATGAAGTTTCGATTGTCACCAAAACCAAAAAAGGTAAATATTTAAAAAATATAGAATAACTTGCAAATTTACTTGCAGAGTGCAATAATAGTATTTGTTGTATGATTTTTTTCTATCTAGAAGCAGATCGAAACATCGCAAAAAAAAGTAAATATCGATCTTATTTCGCATCCAAAAGTGCATTATAAACTTCCATCGCATGTACACACTGTATGTAATCTGCTTTATTATTGCTATATAATTTAATCATGCAACAATTGTGTGATTTTTAGAAATATATTTATAACGACTTAAACATATTTTTCAGATAAAAGAAACAGAAAATCGGAAGATAGGAAATCGTGTAAACGAATTATTGCGTTCCACACAAGATAAAATTGTAATTCGACACGAAGGTAACAGTATACATTACATATTCTCGAGTTAATTACACTGTTCAAAAGGTTTTCGGAACTGAATAAAACCTGAGTAAAAAGTTTTCCAATGGATTTTTAGTCGCTGAAAATGAATCCAGCAGCGAAATTAGCCTACCATGTCAGATTTCCGAGAAAATTGAGGTTAAATGTACCGAAAATGGCGTTTTTTGGGCTTATTTACCATTTTTTGCGGCCAAACTAAATGTTTTTTACAATTTTAATTACATCACATTAAGATGCTATCATTTATCTATAATATGAATTTATAATTATTACGATACGATTTTTTTATACACCTAATTAACATATAAATCATTAAATTGAATATAGATAATAATTTTGCTGGACAAGAACGTAGTCACGCACTTTGGCATTCTAATTTCGTGAAATAGTTCATTTTTTACTATTGTAATTCATAAACTTATATTTTATACATTTATAAATAGTACGCAAAAAATTCGTTAAAGGAGCAAGAAATTAGTTACTAAATGGCCAGCAAAAACATTTGCTAAGTTTATTAAGATTTTTATTTTGCCAAAACCAAAACATTTTGTTGAAACAAACAATTTCGTAGACTCAACCATTTTTCTTGCTGATCATATGACAAACCTTTTTTCCATAATAATCATATTCAATTTACTGATTTATAATATGGTAATTATGTCTTTGAAAAAATCTTATTGTGTGTGTGTAATATATAAATTCATATTATAGATAAAAGATAGTACTTTAATGTGATGTAAGTAAACTTGCAAACACAAGTTTTAGTTTGACTGTAAAATAATGGTAACTATAGCCAAAATTGCCAGTTGTGGCATTTAACCTTAATTTTCTTGGAAATCTGACGTGGGATACCAATTTTGCTGTCAGATTCGTTTTGAGCTATCAAAAATCTATTGGAAAACACATTGTTAATTCAAATCCCTCAAAAACGGTCTATTTTTATAGAACCGTGTTATTATATCTTAAATACACATTATACACACACACACACACAAACAAACACGCGCATGCATGTACATGTACAATTTAATATTTGTATTTTATTTATTTTAGGTAGAACAAAATCAGTTCAAACAGATAGTTTGGAACAACCTGAAATTCATTATGATTCTGCAGAAGAATCTGTGCATATTGAACAAACCGCTCGCAAAACATTTTTCTCCTGTACAAAATAATTAATTAAATAGTTGATTCTGATTGTATTTAATATATTATATATCTATTTTAGTTTGTGTATGTAAATGAGAAAACTTTTATGTATTCATCACAAATAATACAGCAAAAAATCTATAAGTACATTAATTTCTAATTACTTTTTTTTATTAGAAACTGACAATCAGTTTTTTTATATTTGAAATGTTATTTCATTAAACGTGCAATTTTTAAATTTATTGTTTTTATGTTATGTTTTTGATTTACTTCCTTGTACTCTGTATATTTGAATTCTTATACTATATCGCAACATCGCGCACCATATTTTACTGCATGTCATTTTGTTCCACAAAATTGTGTAGCTTCTTTCTAGAAAGTTTAGTGACAATTACTCGACAATCTGATTTCCGCAATATGAGCGAGAAAATAACTGAATGAGAAGATGAAAGAAGGAAGAGAAAGAGAGAGGGAAAGCAAGCAAGTTTGTTTCTCAAAAAGGAAATAAATATATTTACTAAGAAGTAACAATAACAAAATTTACATGTGTAATTTATTCATTCTTTTTAATAATAAATTGTCGATTTAATCAATTTTTCTATATTTTTATATACAATTATTTCTCTCTCTTTCTGTCTTCCTCTTCTAAACAATTTTAACAATATTATATCGAATGGTATTTAACTAGAACAGCGAAACTTATTGCTTGAGATGTTATAGCTAGTCTACAATGAAGGTTACCGTACATAAACAGCATAAATAAAAAAAGTCGGATAGAAGTGTTTTGAAGAATTATCTAAGACATGGCAATTCAATTATCGTTATGTATTTTTAAATTTTAGAATGTAATAGAAGACTTCGCATGTTATCGATGCGACACGTAAAATGCGATATAGGGGTAAACAGTACAGTTATTGGCCTCCCAACAGTAATTGGTCATGTAATAAAGAAGTAATAAATATAAATAAATACTATCATTATATTCTAAATTATAAACATTTTAATATTAATTAAGTTTTTCTTTGAGTTATAGATACAAATGTAAGTAGTTAGTTTTTAATGTGTTATAAATAAAATATTCATTACTATATCTTCATAAGTTAAAATAAAAAATTTATTATGATAACTGTTATGTAAACAGAACTCATATGGCCAATTACTGTCTATTTTGACTATAGGAAATATTTTATCAAATTTTGAATAATTTTTCAAATTTTTTAATAAATTTATTAGTTTATTTGCAATTGTTATAGTTTGTTTGAGCTAGTAGTACTGAAGATTTACTTCAAGTTATTAAATTTAATTTTATCATTTACTCTATATAGTGCAGTTTTCTTTAAGTGGCCAATCACTGTATCTCTTACCTCTATCATTTCAAGAATTTTTACGATTGGACTCCTGTTGACAGGGCCGTCAATTACTGGTCAATAACATCTTAGATATTTGTGTCAATATCACGTCTATTAAATCTTTACTATGCAAGAACAGGAAGGAGAACGTTAAAAACTAGAATACAAATTATATTATTTTTATATGCATGCGTCCTTGATTAAAACTTTTAATCTTGCATAACTTTTTGCTTCTATTAATAAGGTCATTGCAAAAGTATGCAAATATTCATAAATATAAACTGTTCTTGTTTGTTAATATATCATAATATTTATTACTGTTGCATATTGTACATTTAAAAAACTAAATTAGCAATAGAGAGATAAGCATAAAGATGAAAGTACAAAAACTGTAAAAACAAATGCATATAAATAATATTCTTTTTATACACAGATATTAAATAATTTAAAAATTATTGTTTGCATATATAAATATATA